CCCCAAAACCCCAAAACCCCTTAATACTATAATAGAATAAGCATAGAGAGTTTGTAGAAATGAATTAATAATATCATTATGAAAATATCCTTATGACTTAAAAAAGCACAATATATATTATTCATTCACTTGGTTTGTTGAATTCAATGATGATACATGTCATATTATCTGCACCTAAACCCTCAGATGTTGCAAGATTTGAAGGACATATTTTATCCATCATAAGTTCAACAATTCTTGAAACAACCACCAATGGAGCTTAATTTACTGGTCCGTTACTAGCTTAGCTACTGTTAGTTGATATCTGGCTGAAATTAGTATTTGAAATTTTTTAAGCAGGAACTGATCCCATTTTTGTTAAGGTAAGACCAGGTTTCTTTGTTGGAGATACAACAGATTTTCTACCTGCTGGTTATGTAGTTTAAGAAGCCTTTATTTTAGAAGGGCTTGTGGAAGGACTTTATGATTACCTCTTTAATAGTCTTGCCTTAGTTTCATATACAAAATCAACTGCCTGCTGACTGGTCATGCAATCCCATATACCATCACATGCAATTATCATGAAGTCATGTTCTGGTCTAAGTTATTCTACTACTACTTCAGGGAAAGCTGTGACCATATTGTCTTCTGGTTTCAAACTTTAACTTTTATATTCCCAATCACCTATTGCTCTTGAAATAGCAATAATACCATTAACTCTGCCTTCTTCTACAAATCCACTCGCTCTTTGCACTCTTCGTTTTTCATTTGGCAAATCTGGCTTATGGTCAGTTGACAAATCTTTTGCTTTACCTTTAGCTGCGATAACACATCTTGTATCTCCTGCATTGGCAACATATATTTCAGTTCTTGTCACTAGAGCAACACATGCAGTGCATCCTGCTTGAACTGCTAGATCACCTCCGTCATAGGATTGACCTGTGGACATCGATCCATATTTTTGTGAAATTCTAACTAGCTCTTTCTTGCCACTCTCTGTCAATAACATTTTATCTAACTGCAAAAACACGTCAATAAGTGCCTGTCTGTAATTGCCCTTCTTGAAATTTTCGTTTTTCTTCAACTCATCGACCAAGTGATTCTCTACGAAGCGAGCCACTTCGCAACCTCCATGCCCGTCAAAGACACCGAAGACAGATATTTCCCCCTCAATCACATCAAGTGAAGTCACATGCGCGTCCTCCATTGTCTTTCTCCAGCCTTGCATTCCACATGCACCATATCTCAACTATAGCATTAATTTTTAGAAAAAGTAATATAAAAGTATGAAAGGATAAGTGTACCTGGGTATTTTGGCCATCAATTGAATCTTTATCTTTTTTCGGAGAACTCAGATATTCACCCATTATTAATTTATATATTGTTTAATATTTATAGCTTTCCTCAAGAATATTAAGATTTTAATTTTAAGATTTCAACTACAAATAAAAAGTTGCATGATGGTTTCGGGGTTTTGGGGTTTTGGGGTTTTGGGG